GTTTCAATTCATGGTTCAAAAAGTCTTGCGTGTGTTGCAGTGTGTCATATCTACATATCTACACAGTCTGTGTAACATTAGAACAAAGACGATGAAAAATTAAATTCATTAAATAATTCATAATGTATGTTAAACATGATGCACAGAACAAAGCTCTCTGCCTGTAAGTAGAGATGTAAGTTGTGTGTGTACTATGCATAAAAATGGGTCAGTAAAGCCCTAGTGGTGCAGTTGGGGGATAATATCACCACCTTCCTTTTAAAAACTGACCAACCAACCTCACACAAAGTAAGCCCACAGTCGTCCTACTGAGCTATTTTTAGCTACCCAAGAGCCTGCTCGTCCAGGTTGGAGGTGTGTGGCATGGGCTTCAGGCTACATTCAGTCGGTGTATATAGATAACATGTATGTAAATAAGTGTGTGTGTGTGTATTTCTGCTAGGTTGCTATGACACAAACAAATGAGCAGTGTTCCTGTGTGGCATACTGACTTTCTTTCACTATACATTAACTTCACTAAAAGGAACTTTTTCACGGATGCACACTGCAAAGACAACATGGCTCTGTGTGCTTGTGCGTGCATGTACACCTAAGGTTACGATTACTCTATGGTCATTAGTCTGACATATCGCTGAAAGTGCACAGAGCACTAGATGGGAGGCAACACACACATGGAATCAATTTTCATAACCTAATAATTAATTTACTTCATATCATGATAGTCCGTCTGTAAGCAGAATCCCTTAACATTTTTTTGCCATCTAGCAATTAGAGGTAGTCCTAATACAAGTTGAACAAATGACCAGTTTATTGCTTCACAATTGGTCATGCAACAATCACAGTATGAAACAGTGTTAAATAAAAAAGGAAGAGTAGATTATTTGGAAATTGTATGATTCTTGTAAAATAGGTGTGTATATGTACAGTTTACAGGATATAGTCTGTTCAGTCCATGAATAGTGTGTGCTTGAAAGTTCCACGAGTTCCGTTCTGGTCCGGGTCTTTATGTGTACTGTAGCTCTTAACTACCTTACTATCTGTCTATCTGACGGCAGGACTGGGTTCTCATGTCTTCTTGATAAGCAAATCAGGTTTAGTCATACGGTAGGCCACACCGCGTCCATGATCTGGGTTTAGCTCGCCATCTCAGCATTCAGATTCACAGGATTCAGATGCTTTTTGTGTGCATAAAAAAAACAATCTGAGTTTCCAGTATGGAATTATTCTACGTAATTACTTCAGTTGATACAAGTTGGATGTCAAAATCCGGGAGGTTCATTCTTTCACATCTCATGGGAAAATCTTGGAAGGATAAACAGATTTCTTATTTGTGGGGAGTTCCCTTGAACGGAACGCAAAGTGCCACCCTCTTAAGGCAATAACTTTTACTACTCCTGAAATTAGTAGCCCTAATTTCATGACTGTTACATCGGATTTACAGAGATTAATCTAACCTTCAAACTCAGACCCACAAAACACTTCATACATGTCTCAAAATAAGCTTCATCTACAACCACTGGCAAAAAATGTTCATTCAGAAAACATCCATGTCACTCATAACACACTGACCTAAAACACACTTACACTTGGTTTCAGTGCTTTGTAGCAATTGAAAAAAATGGTATTAGAAAAGACTCATTTATTGTTATTCAATCCAATTCACTTTATTTTGTATGTTTTACAGTTTTTTCAATTGCTAACAAGCATAGACCTTTTTCAGTGTACAATGTGTGTGGTGGCGGGCGTGGTTTGGCTCTGCTGCAGAGTAGAGAGAGAGCAGGAGTGGCTCAGGGAACGGTGCCAGGTGGAGGCATAATTGGCTCAGCTGCAATCAATAGAATGAATTATTTGTTTCCCTGTACAAAAGCAGCAGTAGGGGCAAGCCGGGGAGGGGGTTGGTGAGAGAGGCAGTCGAGACGAGGGCTCTGGACTAGAAAAGCACGTCTGTAACTGTGCTTAAAACTGCTGCAACCATGACAACCCTGTGTAAGCCGTGAGCAATACAACTCTAAACAAAAGCCAACACTCAAGGTATACTTCTACCCGGGACCCCAGGGAACCAACCACCATGTGAAAGTGACAAGGGTATATGTATGTGCATGTGGAGTGTGAAGGGAGTGACCGGTGTGATGTCAGAGTCAGTCAGTGGGGGATCTGGGCTCTGTTGATGAGCCCGACTGCCGACGGGAAAAAAACGTTTGTGTGGAGGGAGGTCTTGGTCCTGCCAGATGGAAGGGGCACAAACAATTTTTGTTCGGGGTCGGCTACAATCTTTTTAGCCTGCTTCTAAGGGCCTGGAAGTGAACAAGTCCTGGAGAGACGGAAGATTGCAGCTAATCACCCTTTGTGCAGAGCGGATGACACGCTGCAGTCTGCCCTTGTCCTCGGTTATGGCTGCAGCGTACCAGACGGTGAGGGAGAAGCAGAGGATGGACTCGATGATGGCCGGGTAGAAGTGCACCGTCATCGTTTTTGGCAGGTTGAATTTCAGATTCTTCAGGAAGGATAGCCGCTGTTGAGCCTTCTCGGTGATGGAGCTGATGTTCAGCCCCCACTTTAAGGTATCCACAGCCATGTCGGGGGCGTCACACAGAGTAATGGGGAAGGTGAGACTCGTTCTTCCTGAAATCCACAACCATCGCCACTGTCTTCAAAGCATTGAGCTCCAGGTTGTTTTGGCTGCACCACATCACAAAATGGTCAGATTCCTACCTGTAGGCGGACTCATGCCCACCAGAGATCAGTTCAATTAGGATAGTGTCATCCGCAAACTTCGGGAACTTGGCGGACTGGTGACTGGAGGTGCAGCTGTTGGTGTACAGGGAGAAGAGCAGAGGGGAAAGAACTCTCCAAGTCTTTGTTCCCACTCCTAAATGCGTGATCCTTCTGTAGTCGTAGTTTTCTGAGTTCCGCTGTAAAGCAGGGTTTGTCGTTGTTATAGCTCACCCTGGTGCATGATGGTACACAGCTGTCCTCACAGAAGCCAATGTAAGAAGTCACAGCCTCTGTGAACTCATCCAGACTGTTGGTAGCAGTCCTGAAAAAATCCTAGCCTTGCAGTCCAAGCCCGCCCAAAGATCCTCTAGCGCCTCACTGGTCCACTTCTTGAATTCCCTCACCACAGGTTTGCAGAGCTTTAGTTTCTGCCTGTATGCAGGAATCAGATGGGCCATGACGTGGTCGGAGTGTTCCAGTGCAGCACGAGGGACGGCGTGATAAGCCCTGCTTGTCAGGGGTGGGTGGAAGGCAGGACTCAAATGCAGACGTCAAAACACAAAAAGACTTTAATAGTCATAAACTCCAACACAAAATGGCTAAGGGGCAAAAATGCATACAAGTACCAGGGGAAAAAAGGCAGGCAGGAACTAGAGACATCCAGGACGATAGACAATGACGCGACAAGTGACACAAGAGACACACTGCTTAAATTGGACACAGGTGGAAACGATCAGACAATCACAGGGGATGACAGGACAAGGCAGGAAGTGAAGTTACCCAGGGAGACAAGAAGCAGAAACTACAAAATAAGACAGGAAATAAACCACACCGTGACACTGCTTACTGTGTTGTAACAGTGATTTAGCGTGTTCTCCTCTCTGGATGGGCATTTAATAAACTGTTTGTATCTAGGAAGTTTGTGGCTATTTTTTTGTTAAAGTACCCAAGGACAATAACTAAGGATGTTGGTCCGCTCCACACGCCTTATCTGGTCGGCGAGTGTCCGCTGTGCCTCTTGCACGTTGCCCGTCGGCGGCATGTAAACACGACCAGGATGTGTAATGTTTCTGTAGGACAGTTTATTCTCCGGCTCTCGCATACATGGTTACTGTTACCCTACTCTAACTCATATCAACCACCATGAACATCACAGGATAAATGAAGTAAACTCAGGGGAGTGTAAAAGGGTTTACAGTTAATGAAGGATTCCAGATCAGGAGAACAGTGTTGTAGGATCACTGTTATGTCGTTGCACCAGCTGATGTTGGAGTAGAAGCAGATTCCTCCACCCTTCATCTTGCCGAAGCACCATGGCAGCCATCTTCGGCGCCACCTTGCTTTAGTTAGCAGAAAGTCAAAGAATAATCTATCCAAGCCAATTGCAATTTCCGCTCAAAGCCTACACAGGTGTTGTGCTTTAGGCTCATCACCATGTTTCAATAAAAGGCGATCGCTTGGAACTGATTTTGTTTGGAAATATGGCTCACAGAAGACAGGTCAGTAGAGAAAGAGGAGTGAAATGAGGGAGAGTTATTAAATAAAGGAAGCACATTGGGAGATCTATTAATCCGCATGCAGGCAGCGTGTCTAAACAGAGCCAGCTGAATGGGTTCTTGTGACTGTGTGCCTTCGTGATTGCGTCAGTGCTGCAAGGACAGAAGAAGAACAGATGTGTCCTTCCATCTGGTCAACCCCTCAGAGCATTTGTAGGCGTCGTGAACAGAAACAAGAGTTTTATATTCATATATAAATCTGTTTAGTTAGCCCCAGGAAAGTGCACATATTAAAGTATTACCATGGACAGAAAATAATGCCAAAATTTAAATTAATAGCTCCATTCTGAAAGTGAGGAAAAAGAGGAAACTATACCTAAACGTGCAACATATAGTAAACAGAATAATTATCAAAGCGGATTCTCCAGCAAACTAGCAGAATTGAGTAAATGAAAATAAAAAAGTGAAGGATCCCTGTCTCACAGAATGATTCCACAAGGCCCATGGCAAAGTACCTTGCGGTCTTCCTTGTGAGGCTTGGCTGATGACCTGTTTTCGGCCTGTTGCATCTTTTTCAGTATTATGCAATATATTAAATGATTGAAAAAAAATTGAAAAATGCTTTTCATTTCCTCACACTTCAAGTCTGATGATGTCTTTGTGTGGCCATTTAAAATATCTACACTCTAGCCCAGGGTTCCCCAAACTTTTTCCAGTGAGGGCCACATAACTTTTCCCTTCTCTGATGGGGGGCCAGGGTCAGTTTCAACAGAAAAAGTGTGACATTCGCAGGGGTCCCTAAATGTAATCAATTTATTGTTTTCCAGAAAACATGCTGACACTCCAGCGCACCACACATATCCAAATATTAATAACCCTTTCTGAGATCAAATAACCCTCTCTGGGTTCTTCACAGAAAGAAAGTTATGCTGTGCCATGCACAATCCTAGATAAAAGGTAAACTTCACTTGTCACAGCAGAATCTCAAATGTCTCTCAAAGTTCTTGTGTTCTTTGTAGGTTCCATAGGCTAGCCCAGTAGACACCACTGTAGGCTCCCTCTCATCAACTTCCCCCTGAAAAGCACAAAGCAAGCAGGCTAAGAAACCAAACTAAGTGATACAGCACAATGCATTTCAATACCAGTATGGTTGTGGAGATGGATTTTTATCCCAATAGATTTTATTATGATTACATTTGTTGATACACAGAATGACTGATATAAGTCAGAAAAGTGAGCTTACCTATGTACTGTGTGTTCATCAGTGTGATCTGTGGGCCTGCATCTGGCTGGAGAGAAGTTGAATGTCCGGTTCCATTCTAGTCACAGCCAGTCTCAAACACTGATGCAAATGTTCATCTGTCAATCTTGATCTCGTTGGAGTTTTCAGGAGTTTCATGCGTGAAAAGGTTTGCTCGCAGATATACGTGCTGCCAAAAAGTTTGCGTTAACTCCACGAATAAAAATAAGAAGCTCCGCGGTGTCCTGCACGTCCGTGCTCTCATCCAGTGCTAATGAAAAAACCTGAAAATCTTTAGTCTTCTGCTGCAGCTGGGCATACACATTACCCCCGATTTCTTCAACACGTCGGGTAATTGTACTTGCCGACAGACTCACGGAATTAAAGACATCTTTCTTCTCGGGACAGACCTCCTCCACGACAACATTCAAACATTTCTTGACAAACTCTCCTTCAGTGAAAGATTTACCGCAGCTTGCTATCAGCTGAGCAACACGGAAGCTGGCCCGAACTGATGCTTGGTTCAGCTGAGTTTGCCGTACAAATGTAGTCTGCTGAGCGAACAGTCCAGTTTTTAGCTTAGACATTTTTTCTGCTCGCATTTGGCCGTGCAGGCTAGCATACTTGTCTTTGTGACGGGATTCATAATGTCGGCGCAGGTTGTATTCTTTGAATACTGCCACCGTCTCTTGACAGACGAGACAAACAGCCTTTTCTTTCAACTGAACAAAAAAGTAATGTGTCCACTGCGGGTTAAATACCCTGCATTCTGAATCAATTTTTCTCTTACCACACCGTTTTGCCATTATTGTGGAAGTTGCATTCCACTGAGAAAGTTGAGAACAAGCGTGTGTCTCGTTTATTTTTCACAACGGATGAAAAAACAAGATGGCGCAGCCCTGTAATGTCCCTATCAACGGGCTCTACGTCATCAACAACAACAGAACATTTAAAGGGACCGCGATCCGTCGAGCAGTCGTAATTACTTGTATGACACAACCATTTACCATAACCATTAGCCTTTTCTCGTCTCTGTATTGTTCAGGGGGCCGGGTCAAATGTGGAGGCGGGCCGTATGCGCCCGGCGGACCGTAGTTTGGGGACCCCTGTTCTAGCCTATCACTAATGTGGTCAGATGACACGTTGTAACAGTCAGCAACCCTTAACCCCTAACCTTAACCCTGCTAAATACCTGACCCTAACCCACAACCGAACCTAAATCTGATGCAGTTTCTAAGCTTAAACCTTATGAGCTCCATATTTTCTGCTTTCTAGCACACTTTTGTCCTTGTTTGAAAAACAAGCTTTAAAATGGCTTGCTACTTAATGAAGTAAGTCTTCATTATGGATAATGAACTCAACTTACAATCCTTTTTCAAATTTAGCCTCTGGATGGAACAATAGTGGACACAAACACTCCCATACACAACAAATCATTGACAGCAATCCAATGAATCTCCAAGCTCTCAGCTTTCTGTTACCAACAGAGAGCAGTGCAAGCGTACAGGAAAGAAGAGATCAAGACTTCACCTGGCTCAGGATGAGTCAACCTGGACACACGCAGTCGAGGGACCATGTTGTAGGGAACGGGGAGAAACGAGACCATGGAGGAGAAGGTCCATCCATCCATCTTCAAACCGCTTATCCTGCACACAGGGTCGCGGCGGGGCTGGAGTCTATCCCAGCTTACTTTTGGCGAGAGACAGGGTTCACCCTGGATTGGTCGCCAGCCAATCGCAGGGCTGACACAGAGACAAACAACCATTCACACCCACACACCTACGGGCAATTTTAGAGTCACCAATTAACCTAATCCCCAGTGCATGCTTTTGGACTGTGGGAGGAGGCCAGAGTACCCGGAGAGAACCCACGCAGACACTGGGGAGAACATGCAGACTCCACAAAGAAAGGGAGGAGAAGGTGCAAGGGGGAATAGACAGTTCGTGAAAATGTTGAGTAACCTTCAAGTACGCTGATTATATTGTTTGAAAATAATGTTTACATGCTTTTCCAGTTCCTTTTTCCCTTCCACCTTATCCAAAATACTATTTCTATTCAAGTGTGCAAGCACAAATGATGCCCAATTGAATTTCTGTAAAAATATGTTTGGTTGAAAACAACAATTGTTTCATTAGGAACCATTATCTGCCCACGTTCGAACAAAGACTATCTGGATCCAAACGATCAACATTTAGCTAAACCAACATTTAGCTCAAATATGTCTTATGCCCCTGAACGGCTATGGAGTCTGTGAAAATATGGTTACAGTAAATATTGGTTTCACCCCAGGAAAACATTTATTTACTTCAAGGCAGATCAATATTGAGGTCTCAAATAGATCTGCCTTCACCTGGAACACCACAGACCGCGTAAACAAAAGCACACGGTGCCAATACATTCTGACCCCCACCTCGTCCACTACCAATCTTTAGTCTTTGCCCTCGGCATAGGACACTCCCTCTGGGGTTAGTTTAAAGTGTGACTGGAGACTATTACAGAATACACTTGTTACATATATAGTGTCCTTTCAAGATTAACTTTTGTCTTCAAAAGTGGGCGACTGTGGGTGAGTGGGGAGCACGGTCGTCGTCCAATCAGAGGGTTGCCGGTTCGCATGTCGATGTGTCCTTAGGCAAGACACTTAACCCAACCTTGCTCCTGTAACTGTGACTACAGTGTGTGAATGTTAGCTCTGTGTATTGTAGCTCCTGCCTGTCATCAGTGTATGAATGGGTTGTGAATGGGTGAATGATGTCATGTAGTGTTAAAGCGCTTTGAGTGGCCGGAAGACTAGAAAAGCTCTATACAAGTACAGTGCATTTACCATCTTCACAGGAAGTTAACATTAAACAATGGAACTACTACGTTTAGGATGATAAGATGGTTTTTAACCTGATTTAGCAGCAAATAATGTCACTAGCGAGCGACTGCAGGTGACAAAATGTTAATATTTATTTTAAGTTTGGGAACAGGACACACATGCAAGTCGGCTTGAGGAAAGGCCTGCCCTGAGCATACTCTCACAGACTCTCACATGCTCTTACTGTCCATTAACGTTGCAGGATGGTTTACTTTGGAATTAGGGGCTGAATGGTAGAGGGACATTGATCGAACATCTCACGTTGTGAGTGAGAACCAGTTGACTTTGCAGTTTCCCTGTGTTCCTGTGCACTATTTTCTGATCACCATCCTTGTATATCAATGCATATGTGCAGAGATGAGGGATTTTATTTAGATATTATGCAGGTGGCTTGACTGAGTAACTGTATATGCTCTCATCCCACCCATCACAAATTTGATGTGGTTTACTCTGAAAGGGCTCTCTGTCCATGGTGGGGGCATGTATGCTCAGGCTGTAGGCCGTCATATAAACTCACTAGTCAAAACAAAGCAGCACAACCTGGGACTTTACAAGAAGAGTATTTCTACAGTTTCAAACTGAACTTGATGTGCTTACAATAAATATACTTGCTGAAAACCATAGTGTTACGTTTACAGAGAGGTTAACTGTAGATCATTCTGTTGAATGTCTATGTTCACGTTCCGTGTGCACGCTGCGGGACACCGTACTCGAAAGGTGTCACACTGACCTGTGATGCATCATGTTATGGACTCGGTGCTGCATGTCTACAGGATGGGAGACCAGTTGCCTACGCGTCTCGCACGCTCACAGACACAGAAACACGATACGCTCAAATTGAAAAGGAGCTGTTGGCAGGGGTGTTTACATGCATCAAATTCAAGGATTACGTGTATGGGATGCCCACGGTGGTTGAAACTGACCACCAACCCCTTGTCACAATCCTGAAGAAGCCCATCCACACTGCTCCTGCTCGACTGCAAAGGATGTTACTACAGTTACAGGCGTATGACATCACACTGGTCTAGAAGAAGGGTAAGCACATGTACCTAGCTGATACCCTATCACAAGCTCCGGACAAAACCATCTCACAAGGTCCAGCTGCAGACAACACATATGAGGTGATGTCTGTTAGCTACATCTCAACCAACAGACTGGAGGAGCTGCGGACCCACACGGCACGGGACCAAGTGCTACAGACTCTCAGCACAGTCATCCACCGCGGATGGCCTGGCAAAGAACGCAGCGTCCCCCCTTCCATTCGTCCATTCTTCCCTCACAGAGACGAGTTGGTAGTGGAGGAGGGGATAGTTATCAAGGGCCACAGAACTGTGATTCCAAGTTCTCTGCAGCGAGAATACATTAACATCATACACCGAGGTCACCCAGGTTTGGAGTCAACCAAGCACAGAGCCAGGGGCACAGTCTTTTGGCCGACGATGAACAGTGACATTATGGAGGAGCTGCTGTCGTGTTCAGTCTGCAACAGCACCAGACCACACCAACAAAAGGAACCTCTATAACCTCATCCAGTTCCAGTCTTGCCATGGTCCCCGGTGGCTGCTGATATGTATGAGTGGCACGGACAACAATATCAGGTGCTGGTAGACTCTTACTCGGGATGGTATGAAATCGACCTCCTCCGAGATGCAACTTCAGCAGCTGTGATCACAAAGCTGAAAAGACACTTTTCGGTTCATGGTGCGCCTCACACCCTCATCACAGACAATGCAAGGCAGTACACGAGCCAGCGTTTCAAGGATTTTGCCGAACAGTGGGACTTCAGCCATGTTACCAGCAGCCCAGAGTGTCCGCAATCGAACGGATTGGCAGAAAGGGCGGCACGCAGTGCTAAACAACTGATGGAGAAATCTCACAGAGATGGGACCGACGTCTTCCTCAATCTGCTGAACATCAGAAATATTCCCCGTGACCCAGCCTTGGGCTCACCCGCAGAACGTCTGATGTCACGACAGACGCGCTCAGCTCTTCCAGTACCAGACTGTTAGAGCCAGCCCCGAAAATCACCAAGCAAGTCACTGCCCATCTCCAGAGTAAAAGACTCTCCCAAAAGTGATACTATGATTTGTCCAGCCGCCCGCTACAGCCGCTCGTGGAGGAACAGGTCGTCAGGATGCAGACCGCCAAGGGACATGACCGTCTGGGTACTGTGAAGGAAAGGTGCAAGCAACCGCGCTCCTACATAATCGAGTCCGATGGAGGGACCTACAGGAGAAATCCCCGTCATATCCTTCCTGTCGCTGAGCCATCAGCGGGGCAGGTCGATCCTGTGGACTTTGATCGTCAATGTGCCGCTCCAGCTGCACCGGACGGTCCCCCCTCCACGCCGCAAACGCCCCAACTAACTCCAGCAACACCTCAACGATCAACTAGCGAGCAGCGGAGGCCTGCAGCTCACTCTCTTACCGGGGCCACGCTGGGTGACTCACTGTATACGACGCGCTCAGGTCGCATTTGCAGGCCGAACCCAAAGTATGAACAATAAACATTGAGCTACTGTAAGCTGTGTAAATAATTAAAAATAAAATAAAAAATAAACGAAATTAAGGAGAGCTGAATCCGCACTGGACTCTATGGGACTTTGTATGTCTAGTTGAAGTGCAATGTATGTTGGACTGCCTTGCAGTATGAATGTATAAGTTGGTTACTTACTGTTCAAATTTACTTAAAGATGGTTGTTTGAAACTGTTGCTAATTTCTATTCAGTATAACAATGTTGTAAGGTTAAAACAACTATAGCCATGTTATTATCTTGCGAGTTAATGCCCGGCCTTCCATCGTTCTCCATGAAAGGCACGAACTAAAGAAAAGGGATGTAGATCATTCTGTTGAATGTCTATGTTCGCGTTCCGTGTGCACGCTGCGGGACACCGTACTCGAAAGGTGTGCGTGCGTGGTGATGTCGGGGTACGCGCATCCTCCCCGCCGAGTAGTATGGTGTAGCCGGTAGAAACACGACTCCACGTGGGTTATAAGTTTGTGCAATAAACCAACGGCTTGGATTCAAAGTACGGACTCCTCACTCATTTCGACATTAACTGAAAGAAAACTGGACTGGAGTAACCATGTAACAGGCTCTGGATTTTCTGAGCTCCAGCTGTTTCCGACGGAGTGCCAGGGAACACGAGGCAAGGCTCCAACTAGCTGAGCAATGCATGCACGTCACTACAGCCAGACAGATCCAAGTAGGACAAGCTCAGCACATACCAGAATAGGAAAGTGTGGCAAACACCTTATTAAATTCAATAGAGACCTAGGTTAATGTAGTATGTACTGTCAACGTGTGATTAGCAATGCTGCACACCTTTCCAGCCTATGAGTGAGGATTGAAGGAGTGTTTTGCGTTCTGATAAAGGGTTTAAGGAATGTCATAGCACTTAAAGACACAATTTCTTACAGCAGATATTCTCAGTAACTGAGCAAGGGCCCATATAGATGTATTGCGTTGCAGAGGTACTGCCAAATAGTTTAAGTCAATTTTAGAATTTATTTTTGGGGCTGGTTTAAAAAGCAAGATATTTTGACGTTACAAGGAACCTTCAGTCTTCAGACAGGAGAGTACTCGTAACTAGTGATCTGAAGTGAAATAAAACAAATACGTCTAACTAAAATTCTGTGGAAAAGCTCTTGCAGAGTTTTTCTGCAGAGCTCACAGAGTTCCTCCTAAAAAAAGTAACTACAGACAATAAGTTTGATCGTCCTTTAGCGCAGGGAGATGAGTTCCAACTACTTCACATCCTGTTAGAAAAACCATCCATTAATTCAAAGCACATTTTTTCCATAATTCATTTTAAACCCAAAAAGCAGAGTTATGTTGAGACAAACTTAAGTAGAACTAATGAATCAGAATAAACAAATAAATCATAGACCACCATACAAACAATTTGAAAATAGCAGGGATTAATATTACCCGACAGTAAATCAAAATGGAGGCCACAAGATTAGACTGGTGTTATCGTTGGTATGCTTTTGTGTAGCTTGAAACTTCTTTAAGTTAAGAGAAGTGTACGGAGCGATGACGTCAAGTGCAAGAGTGGAATTGCGGTATGCTTAAAGTCTCTCCCCAAAGACATTCATGGTTTTGTATTTGGTTTTAAGTGCAGAAATTCTCAGAAGTAGTGATGTGAAGAATTCCAAAAGAGAGCAAGAGTGAGACCGTGTTTCTCATTTGGTAATATTCCAAATGTTTTCCTATCTCATGCAACTCGTCAAAGTAGAAAAAATGTATTATGTTGACTCATGTTAGCTCTTGAACCTTTTTCTATGTTTCTATATATGCAACACGATAGCTACTACCTCGCCTTGTGAATACAACTAATTCTGATTCATAGTGTCCAAATAATTATTTTACAGTTATTTTACACAATCAAACGTCAAAAATTCTGTGGACTGTTGATTACAAAATGAATGAATGAGTATCCTCTAGGTAGGAAAGCCAATCTGCATGAAATACATTTACCAAGCATAACGTTGAGTTATCGTTTACTGCCCTCTAGTGCACCAAATAGTTATTGTAATTAGTTGCGTCATCAACAGTGCGTCTTATTATTCTACGCATGCGCAAAAGTAGGTGCAGACAAATTTCAAACTGGACGGCGGGTAGTTGAGGTCTGGTCAGAAAAACACACAGCAGGGGTTTATTGTCAAGAATTTCACCAAAAGTTGAAGAAAATGACCAGCACATTGAAAGGAATTACTCTGAAGGGTAGCGCTGAGATGGTAGCTGAATTCTTCTGTAAGTATTTGTATTCACGGTAATCGTTTAACCGCATTCCACACGCAAACATGCAGTGCTAATATGCTAACGCGAGTGGGCCCGAGCTCCGTGCCGTTTAACGTGCAATACTTTCAACTTTCAACATGTGAATTGGAGCTTAATGTTAACCACCAGTTTACATTTGGGATGTGATCAACAACAAACCAAAGATACATTAAGTTAAGATAGTTGTAATTTGAGGCTCGAACGTATAACGTTACACAGTTTACAGTGAAGCGTACCGCCCACCAGCTACTTTAATGGTGACAATGCGAGGCCTGATGTAACGTTAGTTAAATAAGTTACTTTAGATTCTTGGTTAAATAAGTTACGATAAAATAATAATAACAGATCAGATACGGAGAGATTCGAAATTACATAAGTAACGTTTCACTGTTTAACGTTAACAGGTTTATTGTCATTCGGTTCGCGTACTTACTTTACTGTTAGCTTACTGTGTTACTTTACTGTTAGCTTAGTGTGTAGCTAACGTTACATTGAAAAGCAGACATAAGGCAGCTGTAATAATAAGCGATAATAGTATAAGCAATAAGCGCTCGATTTTTAAAAATTATTTGTGAATCCATCCTACAATATACTTTTCGATAGCACCACATTTTCATTGCAGGTTTTCGCATTGCATATACCGTTACATATTATTACGGTTGTGAGGGGGCGTTTCATTTACAGCCCATATGTCAAGCAAAATCGGGCCGGCGTGTGGGTGAGCGCATGAGAATGACTGTGCACCATCCTCGCGGTCCACCCGTCGACCGCACGTGTTTTGTTGTATTTATTTGTTAGTTTGTGTTGTATACACTAACACGACATATAGAAACAGAAACGTATTAAACTCCGAGTGGCTGTATGTTTCTCTCTCTCTCTCTCACAATAGTTTCATGTTGTCTGGGACATTTTATTCTCTCCACAGCTTTTGGCATCAACAGCATCCTGTACCAGAGGGGCATATATCCTCCAGAGACGTTCACCAGAGTCACACACTATGACATGAGCCTCCAGCTTACCACTGATTCCAAACTGAAGAACTACCTGACAAATGTGGTGTCTCAACTCAAAGGTAGCCTCAGCAGTTTGCTTCTTTGTGTTTTCCCGTGGAGATTATGTTATTTTTTTAACACAACCCATAAAGCTTTATACAGCTACATGGTAATTTCGTCATATGCTTTGTTGTTCCTGATCAATAGTCTCAAATCCACAGGTTCAGTTCATAATATCAAAATAAATTATTTGTATATTAATTCATATTTAATTTTCAAGATGTGCACTACACTTTTATATCTTAATAAGCATTTCGATAGTAGATACAGCAGGAGTACAATCCAGAGAGATTTTTGCATTGATGTATTGAAAATAAGTTCTTAGTCCCACTATTCAGTCAGTGAATGTGTTTCTGTGTTTCAGAGTGGCTGTTTGAGTGCACAGTGCAGAAGTTTGTGTTGGTGATCACATGTCTGGAAACCAACGAGGTGCTGGAGAGATGGCAGTTTGACATTGAGTGTGACAAATCAGCCAAAGAAATCAGGTCAGCCCCGCTACCGTCTAGTTGCCCTTTTTTAAAGTTTCACAGTATTTTATTTTGCTCCATTCTTTTAAGTAGCGTGGTAATATTCCAAACAGCTTTACTGTTAGGTTTAGGTGATGAATAAAGTAAAGCTTTGGTGTTTCTCAGAATGTGTTTGGTCCAGGTTGTGCTTGTTCCCTTTCACATCGCACCAAAAGCGATGCTTCGCCCCGCTCCTAGTCCCTTGCACTTAATATTTATTTAGTGTATATTTTTTAACATTCCGATTATAATGTCTAGATATAAAGAATAAACCGTCTTTGTCCTCTGCATACTTGCATTATTATATAATCTTTGGTATAAAATGGTCTGGAAATTACAATAATATTGTTCATGACAAATAATTTTGGTGCAATAAAAGTAGTTAGAGTGACAGCCCTACATGTTAACACATTCCTCACGTGTCCCTCAGTGCTCCCAGAGACAAGTCTATTAAGACCATTCAGGATGAGATCCGCTCAGTTATCAGGCAGATTACAGCCACAGTTACTTTTCTGCCACTGCTGGAGACCCCGTGTGAGTAACCAGAGCCTTTTCTACCAGTAAACTTATTTTTCTCAACTAACATGTCAGTTGACGTGCTGACAGTTGCCTCCTCTCTAGGTGCATTTGACCTCCTCGTCTACACCGACAAAGACCTAATGGTTCCTGATAAGTGGGAAGAATCTGGTCCTCAGATCATCGACCAATCAGAGGAGGTGCGTTTACGGTCTTTCACCACCTCCATCCACAAGGTGAACAGCATGGTGGCGTACAAGAGGACTGACTTGGCTTAGACCTCTAAACCACAGTGCTCGCTATGAGCTGTATATACCACCAACCCTCTTCATCCCCGCCAATAGAGAACAGTAGATTCTACAGAGTATTCTGTACACAGAGAAGCCAGTATCCTTCTGCCATTGTTTTCTGATCTTTACTTTGTCTCCACCTTTACTTTGTCTCCACTGATGTAAATATTTCTCATTAGCCCTGATCTGTCTGTCAGAAACTGTCTTTTTCTTTGGTTCGGCCTTCCCTTTCTCCCAGATGGTCAACGTCTTTTTTAGAAGCTACTGCTTTATATGTTAATCCTTTTTAACATGTCATGAATAAATGTATTTCACAAATGTTTTTTTTTTTTCTGGGTTTTACTGAAATTGAGTGTGGCAGTGAAACATGCAAAACCATCACAACAACCCGGAGGCTGAAATTTTAAGGACATCAAGTATTAGGTTTTACAAACGCGGTGTGCGTGGACGGGAGGGGCTGTGTGTGTGTATGTGACACGCGTGAGTGACAGACGGAAGGAGACCAGGGAAAGCTGAACGAATATGCTGCGTGATTTAAATACCGTTAAAAGAGAATGTACACCAAACGCAATGTATGGCGGCCGGTGTTGAATCTGCGGCGCACCGCCACAAATTAGTCTACGTGTGGGAAACATTGACATTTAAAGACGTGCAGAAAATGAAAAGCTGATCAGCTAAAGTTATCTCAAAGGCTTAAATGTCAACCAAAACCAGAAAGATGGGGAAGAAAATCGAAAACTCTGCAACTGAATTCAAAGAATATACCCAGCCAATGATCCGCTCCAGATTAATGAAGGTCTAAAGCACATATTTTAAACTCTCGGCCTGCTCTGCTTAAGAGCGAGGGGCTGGGGGTTTGAGGGGCTCATCTCCATCAATCACGGTCGCAGTATTCATATATACTGGTAAACTAAACAATCTTTTTACTCTGTAAATTTCAATAAGAGAAGGTGATTATGATTAAAAAATACCAAATGTGCCATCATATTGGTTCGTTTTCAGCATCAGTTATGATCTATTGTAAAGTATAACTAGTAACTCGTCACGCTGCTCACAATTAAATGCAAACATTACTCCCACCTCTCCATATACAGGAAAGTTACCTCTTATGATGGGAAAGCAATAGGTGCAGAGACATCTGGTTCAGTGTACACATTTCTTTTTTTAATTTGTGTTGGTCCTATTTTATCACACGGCAGTGGTTACATGTAGACCCATTTCCCTTTGAAATTGCAGCCCTAGTTTTTGGCTATTTTATATTTTGAAAGTAAAGTTTCAAACATCACAAAACAGTACATATCCAAATGCCACCTGAAAGAGTTGTTCCTAAGAAAGGTCCTTCAAAAAAGCAGTTTAAGTATGAAAACTACATTTCCTTTATAAGGAACTTTGTGCTCTCGACAAAAGGTTGAGCTTACGATATAGAAACTATTATAAATACGTAAAACAATAAATATACAAAAGTTAAGACTGAGTTATATTTCTTCTTAGTAAAGACCCTTGTGTGTGTGTGTAGTCTGTGAACATTTAACTTATCAGATTATTGCAACACTTTGTAAACTATGTAGCTAGTACAGTATCTGTATTCCACTTAACTGGTGCCAGTGTCTCACCATTCAGTGTTCCACTAAATTTCCCACTACCTGTGTGTGATCGTATAAGTGAGACTTCAAGATGATACCAACTATGTGCAAAGATAAAAAGGCTATTGTAATAAATATAGCTTAGTGCTGACTGTTATTTTCTCTGGTGAGTGACAGCCGTGGAAAAAACGGTGGATAGGCCGGTCTCAGTTTGGAGAAATTAGCAAAACATCTGAAAGCATAACATACGGGAGGATTGCTACAAAAAAGCCCAGCGGATAGCAAGTGAGCTTCTATGATCAGAATGGTTGTAAACAAGCCAGCAATAGTTTAGACAGATCATCAACACACATATACACAAACACCACATTTTGGCATATAATTCAATTTTACCTTAGTTTTCTCTTCCACATAAGTTTAAAACACATTAGTCTATGTTGGCTTTAAGGTCAGACAGCAGTCTGCTAAGATGACGTCACCTCTTCGGTACTGGCGAATACGAATTCGCTAGACATGGTGGCAGCATGGCTCTAAGGATGGGTTGGTCTTGACTGAAATAGCTCAGCGGCCCTTAAAGGACTGCCATTACGTTTTCAAATTACACATGGTTCTCAGAGGATGCATTGTAATGATTGAATGGGTGACTTTGTGTCGTAGGAATTGAACGTATTGTACATATTGTACGCTGTTCATTGACATTACATTACATGACATTACATCCATGTCCATGTGATCCATTCCGGGCATCCTCCACTTCCTTTCTTCCCTTTTTCCCCATCGAAGGAGTTTTTCCTTTGCCGAAGTGAGGGTTTCTGGACAGAGGATGACGCATGTGCACAGACTGTAAAGCCCTCTGAGGCAAATTTGCTATTTGCTATTTTGGGCCATACAAAATAAAATTAATAATCAGCGTTACTTCTGTTCAGTGCTAATTAGCTAGTTAGCATCATAAGGCGCTGGACTTAAACAGTGTTTTATATAACTACAGGACATTCGGTATATGTAGTGGTAACCAGAAAGAGAGTGTGTGTGTGTGTGACAAAGTTATCAGTAGCCTGTCACAAAGGCACACCCTCTAACGTTATGCATGGCAGTGGGGACGGAATGGAAATGATATGCCGATGTTGGTGCCAGAGTGGCGGTTGAATAAAATCCCCAGCTAGAAGCTGCTCTAGTTGATTATAAAGATCAACTGCTGTATGCTACAACACATCACATCAATACAGCATCATGGAACGTGGTGCGTCTGTTGGTACACTTTTGAAAATTATACTTTTGGGACATCAAAATACCCTTGACTACCCCTTAAGCTCATGACATGCTAAACTAAAAACATGGCAATCATGGAGCTACGGTCGCCCTGAAGTGCAAAACACAAGGGCAAATAGGAAAGCACAACGGCAAATAGGAAAACATAATAAAAAACCAACATAAAATTAACTTCTTAGGGAAGGGGTAGGGCCTTATAGCAGAGGACGGACCCTTCTGATTGGACAGACGGCCCGTCTGTCTTTTAACAGGAAATGATACAGGGCTCTCAAGTGTCACGCATTGAGAGTTACAGTCACGCATTTCGGTCTCTTGTCACGCACTCCCGCCACACATCCAATTCCTCACGCCAAGGAATCTGACTCCGGTCCCCGAGCCGGGTCCGCCGTGGCGTCCACCAGCCGTAGCGTCGCGGCACCCCAACCCCCCTTTTATTTACAACACCCAAATATAATTCAACAACAAAACACCGGTAAAACAATGGTGAAACTGTGCAAATAGTTAAGGAGTCACAGTAATTTGAATCCTCCATGTCACTTTCCACGAAAGGCTTCGGATTAAGAGGGTTAAAAGACAGACTGTCCAATCACAAGGGTCCGTCCTCTGCTATCTGCTATAAGGCCCTACCCTTTCCGTAAGAATTCATTTCGTTGTGTTTTCCTATTTGCCGTTGTGTTTTGCACTTCAGGGCCACCGCATGGAGCACCTCAACCCGGCAACCTAAACATCAGCATGTGAACCTGCTGGCATGCTTATGTAAGCATTTATGTCAAAGCATTGCTGTCATGACATATCCTAAATCAGTGATGCTTCAGCATTTCCAGGCCAGAGTATATCAATTGGTGAGTACAACCATATCATCAGTCAGGTAGGATGGAAAAACCAACAGAAATTGTTTGTTATATATTTCATTTTTAAGAAAACCTCTGCATAAGTTGGGACCCGAATCTTCTCAAGGTTTGTTAAATTTGAAGGAGTGTGTCTACTCTTTTACTTTCAAACAAGTCAAACATTTTCTATTTTTCACCAAACAATCTTTTCTTGACAGAGCAATGGTCTTATTTGTCCTTTCAGGTGACATGGTAATTTCTTGAAATTCTGAGAGACCAATTTGGAATGAAAAGCCCCTGGAAAGGTGTGTTTGTTGAAAACCAAACTGGTGTTAGTATCACACCAAGCCGGTAACGAGCCCTTTCTCGCTCTCCTCGGCCAAACGCTTCCAATGCTGCCGGTTCTTCTGACATCCTTCTAGCAGCGGGGAGCAATACTCCGACATGCCAGCCAAGGTCTGTGACAGTGAGCAAAGAGCATGCTTATTTGTCTTTGGGGAAAGAATACAAAAATTCACTCTGTTTGTAAAATAGTGTTTACAGCAAGTTAAATTAGTGAATTTACCTCATATAACTGAGTGCAGATTGCATCAATGAACGACACCTGCATGCTGGGTATTTTATCTTTCTTCTCACGATTCATCAGGTCCTAAGGTAGAAGGATAAAAAAAGGAATGCACAACATTTTCCTGACATGTAACATTACGTAGTGATATATTTAAATTAGGGCTGTCAATAGATTAAAAAAAAATAACTAATAAGGCGCACATTTTGAAATACATTAATCTTGATTAATGAATGTTGTTGTTACAATGTTGTTTTTAATGAATGTTGACAAAATCTTAAAAGTAGTGAGTTTTAGAAACCATGTATTTCAGACACTGTTGTTTAATTGTTAATGTTATTTTAAACACAAAACTACACACATTTGATCATCTTGGAGGCTTAAATTACACCGGGTGGAACATGTTGAACGACTCTTACTGCTGTCCTCCTGCACTTTGCTCTCAACGCTCGTTCATTTAAAGGCTGTGTTTGAAGTGCCAACAATCTCCCCACATTTAGCAAGGACGTTTTCAAACCATGGTCTTTTAGGGACAAGTGGTGGTCCTCTGCAGACTGTTAGATGTTGAGATGGAAGTAGCCTAGCAGCTAGCTTAGCATTGGTGCTTTTTAATGGTCCGTTTGCCACTCACCCCTCTACTGTTCTACACGTGGAGTAATTCCTCTGCACAGATCTCCGTTGTATGTCGCACCTCTGTTTGTTTTACTTGCAAAGCAAAAAGCTCTCTCCATCTTGATGTCACGTTAACTGACTGCAGCTAGCGGCCGTTTCGTTTCTGAGGTCAACTTCCGGTTTAAGTAAACCAGAAGTAAACAAACGAATGTTAACTACATAGTTAACTACAACTACACATTAATCGCATAGATTAACGCATTGATGTTGACAGCCCTAATTTAAATTGTTTGTTTTGTCAAAAGGCAAAACCCCAAATATTTTAAATATATGCCAAATCCTCACATTTGAAAGGCGGTAGTATTATTGCTTGAAGAATTAACAAGATATGTATATACTATTTACTTGATCGGCTGCCCAACCTCAAACAAATTAAACACTCCAAGAAAAGTAGTGGGATTCAAAATTACGTCACATAAAACCAGGTTTTTCTGTATGGACAAAAGGAAGTTAAGGTAATCTGTATTACCCCTGTGGGGCAATATGATGCACTGCCAGCAATAATACAATCAGCACACAATTCACAAAAATTATAGTGTTAATCAGGTCAGAGGCACAGACAAACTGGCAGGAGGCTGATTTTAAGGATGAAAAATGGTAACATTAAATTATTTAGGGGTTCAGTTATCAGTTAACAGTTATCAGAAACTCGAAAACAAACAGTTTGACATTAAGCGCGATACTATGAGTATCACGCTTAATGATACCCAACATATTTTTATGACAAAAACGCATGAAGATTAAAAACAAACCCATACGTATCCCTGAGGCACACCACAGCTTAAAAAGGTGTTTGTCAAACAGAACAACCTTGGAAGTGACACACACTGCACTTACACTGGGCTCAATGTTCAGCTCCCGTCTTTCCTTATCCCCTTGCTCGAAGAACTCAGTGGCTACCAGCTCCGCGATCTGTGCCAGAGAGCTCAAATATTACCTTCAACTTGAAGCAAACGGGAAAATGGGAATGGGAAAATAATGTGACAAAAAATATTTCAACAATATGTTTTCTTTCTTTATGCACATACCAAGGACAGTAAAGTAACTATTAAGATATCACCACAAGGCAAACACTGAGACATATTAAGATTAAACCAATTTTTTAAATCCTTTTCTTAACATAGAACAACAGTGATTTACAACATGCATTCTTCAGAAATTGCGCTTTGAACTCTGGCTTTCCTGCTTTGGTGATTAACTTAACCACATTACTTGCTTCAACAGCCGATCCTTTTCGGCTTTATGGAAAAGACATTGCTGAGACTTCAGGTGTCTCTGTAGCTGCGTGGTTATGTTCAGATTTATGAACACAAATCTTGTATCTGAGGACTGGGGCACAGCTGTTTTCATTAATAAGCACCCGCTTATCAACACGCAGCTACATGCACAGATACATAGAGTGCCTGTCTGAACCTCACTCCACTGGGCCTGTGGTTCCTAACCAGATGCAGTCTAACGGAGGTCAGCAGGGAGATGAAAATACAGGGAAAGGTATGGAATGCATAAGGAGAACTATGAAACAAATATTAGGTGTGTGAAACAGACAGACAGAAAAGAGGGGGAGGAAGAAGGAGTGGGAGAGGGAGAAAATAGAATAAAAGGTAGGATAAACTGTAGAAGCTAGTAAGAAGTGCTGCACTGCACACATAGAAACCTTTTAGCATGTTCCACTTTCAGTTAAACTCTAATCAGTGATGTCACACAAGATGCATTGCTTTTGAAACTAATGAGAAACACATTTTGTGACATCACTGATGGCAGGGCCAGAAGTGAAATATGCTAAAATGTCTAAGCCAACAGAGATTGCCCCGGCAGCTTTCAATTCTCTGTTAATCGAGATAGAAGTACCCAATGAATAATATTACTCTAATTATAACTCAGCAAACAGTGTTTCTTCTACCATTTACCTAATTTATGTGCATATGTTTCATCTCAGCTCAGTGTGAGTCTCTATTGCCCATTGGCCACACCCTGAAGCAGACCACAACCAGTGAATGTTGGACCTGAGCCTCTTATTATTATGGGCGAAACCGGCTGCTAGATTCTCGCAATATTGTGACAGCCCGTCGGAATAAGCATTAAGTAAAGCGTTGGTGAGAACTATAGTGTGACGGACCATTTGGTTTCCTGTGCGGAGTGTAATGGTAAAAATATGTTATAACATTGTTTTGTGCTAAAGCCGTGTCTCAAGTGTCCTGTATTTGACCCCGATGTGCAAAGAGCAGCATGATACAAAATGTTAGTTTGCAGCTGTGCCCCGAGAAGGGAGGACGGTTGACTCGATCTCATAGAAGCTTCAAAACAAAGGACTCCTGTTCATGGCCTTGGTTCATATCTTATTCGGTACGAAAGTTCCTGATCCAAGTTTTACTTTCATATCAATTAATTATGATTTGCACCGGCCACTGAGGAGGATCTTGTGTGTGTGTGTGTGTGTGTGTGTGTGTGCTACCCTCAGCTTCACCTGGGTTCTTATCTCAACCTGCTTTGCAGCTTCTCGTAACTGGCACGGAGAATGTCCTCCACATGTGTATGAAAACTCAGCGTCTTTAGTGCTCGGAGACGCCATTTTCACAGAGCACCGTGATATGTGCCTGTGTATTTGACCTCCTGCTTGCAAGCAATAAATGGACTTTTTGCAACTTTGATCATTCATCAAGACTCTGTTTTATCAGACAAATCATTCTCTTCTACCGAGCTTTTATTGAAATATTCCATAACAGGAGTTAGTGATTTAGATATCAGTGATGCTACAGCGGGGGGTGAGGCATGGGGGTTCTTCGTTGAATGTAGTTCAGCTACCTGGAAAGTCATTGGTATGAAAATCGCACAGCTAAGTCCCAGAGGTTGACCCCATACTATGAGTCAAAGCAAGAAAGGATATTTTTACCATGGCCATTTAGACTTTTCTTGCATTAGTTCCAGGAACTAGAAAAAGTAGGATTCATGTCAAAACATTTTCTGGAATATTAATCTACCTTCAAAGGAAGCGTACATTGTTAATGGTAAACCATCAACTAAATGTTGATGAAAGGTATATTTTAAATGAACATATTCCTAGTAAGTCTAGTAATATTCCCAATTTTTTTACACCAAGTGGCCAGGAGCAAGGCACCAATAAAGGCTTATGTTGCTCTTTTCTCGGATGGATGTGTGAATAGGCAACGACTACTACTACTAACATAATGTTGTCATCAGCTTGTTCGATTGCAAACAGTGTGCTGTAGTTTACGGTAGTTTGATTGTATTTAATATTTTTATGTAAATTGAAACAGAACATTATGGTCAATTTGGCCAACCTTGTAATCTTGCTGCTTTTTATTGTCAAGTGATTGAAAATAAGCACAGAATATCAATCCATGAATTGTACTTTTTCCAGTTCCTGGACCTCTCAATATTTGAATCATTTCTGTTGTATGAATTGAACGTACTGTACATCTTTTACGTTGTTCATTCCGCACACCTGACATCCATTGCATTCTGTCCATCCCAGGAGAGGAATCCTCCTCTGCAGTTCTCCCTAAGGTTTCTTCCTTGGAAGGATGTTGCATGTGTACAGACTGTAAAGCCCTCTGATGCAAATTTGTAGTTTGGGGTTTTACAAAATATTATTAATTGAATTGAATACTGCCACAATAAACAGGCAAACATTTGGACAAACCAAATGAGTACTTCCTACTCATTACCACTGATTTTCATGTTCTCTGTCAGTTGTTTTCAATAATACGATGAATGAGCAAAACAAGTTGTCATATGTCCGAAAGAAACTGACTTCATCAACAAGGAAGTAAGGGAAGAGAAAGGAAACCGTAAATTGCATTTCAACCAACACAAGCAAATTCATGTTTTACCCTTTTTTGCACTGGCCAGGGCTTTGTGATGGCTGAGATGTCACATGCAGTCATCAGCATTGACCTGAAAGGCAAGAAACATTGACTTTGATCTTCACACAGTTCCAGTCAACTTAAAAGAAAATGATTAACAGTAGCTAATGATTGCATAAGTTGTGAGTGAAATGTATCAAACAAAAGTATATTTTTTGTTAGACAGCAGTGTTTCCCCTGGAAGGTTTACAACTTCAGGGGGTTGGGGGGGCGTAATAGTTTTGGCTAACAACTCCACCGACGGGGGGGAAGGTGGAGGGGGAGTAGTAGTGGGTGGTGTGTTCTGTCGGGAGGGAACTGCCGTGCCTGGGAAGAAAATTTTATTTAAAAAAAAATCTTGTTTTATTCCAGACTTTTTTGGGTGGGGTTTTTAACTTTAGGGTCGGGCCCTCCCCCCCCCCCCCCGTGTTATAATGGTAGGGGAAACACGGGACAGATTATTAATAGATATTTGTATCAATGATACAATGAACTATGTACTACTTGATGAACAGTCTATTTGTAAAATAATAACTACTGTACTAAGTTATTTCATAGGACACATACACAGTACTCAGGGGGTTCTTTTCAGTTGCCTTTATAAATTAATAATTTACTGATTTATTATTTATTAATCATGTTTTGGCCAATGCACTCATCTGCTCACATTCCCAGAGTGTGATGAGAAGATTGATGTCTTTGCTACGTGCAGTGCTGCATTGGCAGAAAATTACTTTTAGATTTCTTAACTGTTATGAGTTTAGGGGGACTGGTACTTGCCTCAGTAAGTCTTTGTGTTGCTCATCTTCCCAAACAAACTGGCTGTTCTTGGTGAGCTCAAAGAACTCTCCACGCCTCCTGACACACACACACACACACACACACACACACACACACACACACACACACACACACACACACACACACACACACACACACACACACACACACACACACACACACGTATAACAAACCCACAAAGAATTAAAAAAACTAGCTGGTGAAGTTGGTGGAAACTAGGATGGATCATCATTAATGGTTAATTATGTTGCATAATTACTCGTGGATGTAGAAAAATAAATTGTAAACATGAACATGGGAGCTTAGATTAGATTAAACTAAGTTATTACATGTTCGTCATATCATTGTATGGTTTCTCTCTCACTCTCTGTCTCTCTGTTTCTCTCTCCATCTGGGCTTGACATTTGGTACCTACTTCATGTACAGGGCCAGGTCAGTGGCCAGAATAGCCCTCTCGATCATCTTCAAGGTGGTCTTGTACTCATTCAGGGAGAGACCGCTAAGGATCTGGTTTCCCTGGAGAAAGAGAGAAACAAAGGGGAAAAATTGTTGAAGTGCAGAAACATCTCTGTATCATATCTAAAGATTTACACATATGAAAGTTAGGGAAAGGTACCAGTGAGTGTGTTGATGGTTTGTTCCGTGATAGACAACCACCAAGGTGTTTCCATGCATACACACATACATACAAATGAGTCAAACAACTAAACCCTGTCCATATAAGTTAAAACATTTTCCAAGTCAAATTCTCTGAGTGTGAACTGTTTGCTTGCATCTGTATGGTGGAGTTTAGAGTAGAGGGTGCGCCAGGAACTGCAAGGCTACAGTTCGCATACAACAAGTCTGCAGACGACGCAGTCAACACGGTCCTTCTCTTGATTCGGGCGTCTGTGGGTGAGTGGGGAGCACGGTCGTCCTTCAAACAGAGGGTTGGCAGTTCGATCCCAGGCTCTGCTAACCTGCATGTCGATGTGTCCTTGGGCAAGACACTTAACCCAACATTGCTCCTGTAGCTGCAACTAGTGTGTGGATGTTAGTTACTGATGGGCAGGTGGCACTGTGTATGGTAGATCCTGTCATCAGTGTATGAATGGGTTGTGAATGGGTGAATGATGTCATGTAGTGTTAAAGCGCTTTGAGTGGTCGGAAGACTAGAAAAGCTCTATACAAGTACAGTCCAGTCCATTCTCCAGCACCTGGACTGACCAGGAACCTATGCCAGGATCCTGTTTGTGTACTTCAGCTCTGCATTCAACACAATCATCCCCTCTCTGCTGCAGGACAAACTGCATGTGCCTGACTCCATCTGCAAGTGGATCACTGACTTCCTCTCTGACAGGAAGCAGCGTGTGAGGCTGGAAAAGTCTCACTTTCCCGGAACATTAGCAAAGGTTGGGATGAGTCCACCTACAAATACTCCACAATAATATCAGACATCCTCATCTGATGTGGAGAGACCAGCTTGTCTGAGCGTAGCCTTTAGGAGGCGGATCTCAAGTCTGGCCTTGGTTTGTGGAGTATTTGACATTAAGTCTTTTTTTTTTAATTCAATACATATATATTTGAAACTTGTTATAAATATCCTCAATGTACAGTGTTTGTGTTGTAGGTCTCAGATGAGCGGACTGCTGGAAGAGGATGGAGTGGGGTTTTTCTTGTTTTTAGTATTTTTTAAATGTGTGTGTTTTCATTTCAAATAAAAATAAACTTATATTGACCCCACACTGGCTATTCTACTTGTTGCTCTTTACATATCTATAGTTCTACATTGTGATTTCCTATCCTGTTTGAGCACTGGTTATCCAGATTTGGTGATCCTGAAAAGGTCCTATCTGGATCAGATTGATCCAATCCGATGTTGCTTTGAAAAACTGGCTCAAAAGTAAACTGGATTACGTGATCACGGATGGCAAAAAAAAGGATTACTAAATTCGGATAAATTTTATCCGGATTAAACCTTTTGAAAAACCGGGCCCTGGACCTCAACGCTCCAAAGACAGTGGAGATGGTTGTTCATTTCCGAATGAACGCAGCCCCACCTTCCCCGATTGCTCTGGGTGAGAGGTATCATCTGAAAACATAAATTACCTTTTTTGTCTTAGCAATTTGCTTGGTGCACAGTATAAAGAAAATGAGTTGGAGGAATGCATAACAAAGTGGACCTTAAAAGGGAATTTTGTCGTGGTGTAACTGCTCAACCTGCATCTGATCACAGACCATAGCTGAGGGACCCCTGTGGTGTCTGTGGCTTGGCCCAGATCTCTGGGCTGTTTCACCAAGAGAGAAATCACACCTAACAATGGATTCAAAAGTCAGCCTTAGTTTATGAACTGAATGTAACTTCAATGTTGATTCTTGAATGTTAATTGAATACCTCTGAACTAGAGTTAGCTAAAAAGCAATATATTACATTTTTGGGACATTGAAATCCCCGTTTCACATTATAGTCACCAGGTAGATATCCCAATGTTGATAAAAGCTGGACCGATCAATATATCTTCAACTTTTAGCAGTTTGGAAGCGAGAGGTAGATTAGATGCAAATTGATCTGATGACGGAGCATTGAAATATAATAATTGCTAATAATAAAGCTTGTAGGAGTCCATTAGGTTTAGCTCGACTTGGCTATTTGTCACATATATGCAAAGTAGTGCTTGATGTCATTCAGTAAACCTTTGAGCAGACTTGGCTACTTTCCATTGAAAGTCCTTCTTCAGTCGATGAATAACTGTCAGAGATCTCTGGTGGGCAAACTATCTTGTGAAAAGGAAGAGCCTTTTCCCAAATTGACTGACAAGTGGGCTAGTTCATTCCTTGTTTGGGACAGGACACAATATATATGTAACAGCCTATTGTAATCTAAATGTGTACATTAATGTCAGAACTTGGTTATATAATTGTTCACATCCACATGACAACATTGTTGACGTTATGATCGGAACGTATGTGAATTATTATCATAACTGTGTAGGATACAGCACGTTCAATTAGACCTGACAGAACCCCCAGACAGTTGGTTTCTCCCAATTAGCCCAATTGATTGGAAGGCTGTATAAAAGCAAGGGGAAAGGGAAATGCCGAGAGAGTCTGTAGTGAAGTCACCTGCAGAGAGGTTGTGGTTATTGGGTTCCTTTTGTTTATTTTTGTCCATTAGAAGTGTTTGTTTTTTCTCTGTTTTCCTGAAGACCACCAAGGATAATAAAGGGGAATGGTTAATCGCATCCCAGAGCGTGAGTTTTCTTGACTGCACCTCATCCCAACTCAAACCTCTGAGTCCTTGACGCCACCATCCTGTGTAGGTGTTGGCCTCAAAGGCGCTATGTCGCATATCTATTAGTGACATTGCTCCTTAATGACCTCAAACCTGTTGGACATTTCTGCTACCGCTCAGAACAAAACAAACACATGTCTGTCTCCATGCAAAAAACAAGAAAATCCATCTGCTGTCACCATCACCTGATGAAATATATTACTTGTTCGACAAAGTATGAAACCATTTAGGACTAGTGTTTTATCTCTTTTGGTAGTTGGTAAGTAGGTTACTTGCCGGATGCCTTTGTATATGAGTGAGTGAGTGAGTGCACCTACGGAGCTGTTGAGTATCATGAGGCACTGGTCGAAGTGGTGATGCTCCATGGTGGAGTGGCAGTAGAGCTGGGCCAGTGGGTGGTCGCTCCTGGACACACACAAGAAGAAGCACACAGAGTGGATGCACTGTGCTGCCACACATACATATACTTATATGACTCATACTCTCCTAGTGTACCTCTGTATGTAGGAGTTGTTGACTCCTCTGTGGTCCAGATCGTGGCTGAGAGTTGCAATCATCAAAGCCAAGACCTCTAGATCGCTGAGGTTATTCTGTCAGGAGATGGACGAAACACACACAAGCTACATAGCATAATGACAAATGACAATTTTTAGAACAATTAAACCAAACAAAAGCTGTGTACACTTGCTATCCTAACTCCAATTTGTTGGCGGCGTGGGGGCTCAACACAAAGCCTTAAGTGGACAGCACATCTGTTTGTGCCTATGACATAACCGCTTTTACCCCAGAGCTGAAGCATGACTCAAGCATTGTCAATACTGATACATCCCAACATATTGATAGTTTCCAATATTTCAAATTTATGCAGAAATTATTGCATGTTTCTATGTTACAGAAACCACGAGTATTCAAAGTTTTCCAATTTATCTCATTCCTTGTGTTGTAGGAGATGATTTAGATTTGGAGCATCCATTATAGGTGCTATTCAATTTAACCCAGCTAGAAATCAACATGAATTCAATTCATGTTGTAATTCAACATTACTACCTTGTTTGTAATAGGGGTTATATTGTTCAACAAGATTGCAAATACAATTATTTTCAGCAGCAAGCTTTTCATTCATGCTATTCCAAATGTTTAGCATCATATAACAAATTAGCTCATCCTAAGCAGTGATGGGCGGCTCTAACCTGTAGGTGTCCCGATTTGAGGAGGGTGAACATGCTCTGGGCAGTGTTGAAGGCGTGTCTCCAGTTGTGATACGCCACATTCTTTCTGTAGTTTTTCTTCACACTCAGAACCCACTGGCACAAACTCTACAGAAGTGGAAAAGAGCAGAAAGACATATTTTAACACATGAGCAACTTTTTCAGGATTGGATGCTAAGCACCATGAGGGTTTTGGCTCATGAGAGAGGCAGATAATTGTTGGAATGCTAATTCAGCATTTAGAAGAAAGACCTTCAGAGCATTCAATATGTTACAAAAGAATGCAAGTAATAACATATTGTATAGTTTAACCTGGGCTGGTCCAGCTCTCGCTGCTGGAGGGCCATAATCCTCTCCAATCAAGGCTGTCACTGGCCTCAACCACAGACACACAAGGACCTCTTCACGTGGAGAGCGTGCTAAGGAGGTGAGCCAAACCTGCCAGCGGCTGGGGGGGTGCTGGCTCTGAGGGGGCGCTGGAGAACGCTGGGTCTGACAGACCGCATTGATGGAGGCAAACAGTGTGAGGGATGTTTGCTGTGTGCACAAGTGCATAACTTGTGATTTTGGGCTATACAAAATAAAATGAATTGAAGTGGAGTTCTGCTTCAGAACAATCCTTAAAGAAGTAATTAAAAAGGTACTGTCTAAAGACTGCTGTATTTTGTGTAAAGTACAGCAAGTAAATCAGTGCTGCTCTGAAAACTGTGTTACATGAATGCCATTCTGAAAAAGGACAGATTTGGGTTGTAGATTTGCATTTTGACATACAAGTGAGATTGATACCACCAAATGTCTTATTTGGCTTGTTTTTAAAGAATAAACAAATTAAAGTTCCAAAAACTCTAAAAAAGAAATAGTATTTTATTGTAATTAATGCCGGCGTTGTCTCATGTTTTGGAAATGCCTGTGTTCATGTAGTAAAGTTCTAAAAACGAAAATAACTTTTCTTCTGAGGGTACTGAATGGTACTAGAGGAACAGTTATTATGTGAACAAGACATCAACGAGGTTCATCCTGTGGCGACCAAGAATATCTACGATTAAACTGAAACTCTGTCCAGGTCACTTCTTACCGTATATTTCATCTGGAAGATTTGGACCAGGTTGAGGTCGACAAACATACGAATAGTAGCCTGCGTGGTTTCGGTGTCTGACAAGTCAAAGTCACTGAAGCTGAAGTCCATAAGACGCAACGACTGGGCTGATGGCACTGTGGACACCTTCGAATAGACACAAACACATTCAGGGAGGCTCAATGATTCAATTATATACAGGCATAAATACAAATCTGTATCATCTGCATTATTTACTTTGACCTAATTATTGTAATCATTCTATAGATTCTTAATGTCATTCTTATTTCAATTCATATAACGAGACATTAAATCATTAAATTGTTGCTGCAGTTACAGTAGCCGCTCAACACATACTGTATGTAGCGGTCTCTTGGGTGGAACGTACCCTTAAAATCCAGCCCGTGTCCTAGATACCAAGTGACACATCCTGTCTTTGTCCCCCGAGGGAGGCCACTTAATCAGGTTATGCTGTTAGTTCAGACACTTCTCCCCGCGGAGAGGAGAAAACAACAGCAGTTTTTGAGAACGTAACTGGTGTGAAAGCTGGTTCTTATTTGTGATGTTGCCTTTATGTGCTGTCAGAAGAAGTGAGATAATAAAAAATAATCAAGAAAGAGCTCTGCTGCAGGTATAAAATAATTTATATCTTGTGTAATATGTGTACAAAGTCAGAGGAACAATCATACGATAGGTTCAAGAGAGCGTGTTACCTCCAATTATTGCTTGTTGACTGACTATGTCTGATTTCCATTTCACCTTAATAGTGCATCTGATCGTGATCTATTACCATGCATCTACAGAAAGAAATATTGTTCTAGATCAGGGGTGCCCAATAGGTCGAAGGCAGTACCAGTCGATCGCATGCCATCAATAAAAAAATGACGTCACTGATGCGCGGAGATGACCGAAACTAATGCTAATTAGCGATCCTTGCCTGCCCCCCCCCAACCCCTCCGTCAGTCAGGGAGGGAGGGGGTAGATTGGTTGACTTGGTTAGTTGAAAAGTAGCCTGCGAGCCGGAAAAATGTGGCCACTGGGATTTAAAGATAAAGACAAAGGAGTGGTCCAATTATCAAACAAATAATTCATTTTAGATCAAATTGAGAAATGTGGCATACAATTAACAATTAAAATCACACTGTGTTGAGTTAAACTTAAAAATGTACACAGCAAAATTCTTAGGGTTCAGTTAGGCAAAAGTGTTGAAGGTGCAGAGTTGAAATCACACTGCAAAAAGATGATTCAACTCTTACAGAGTCAATTGTACGAAAGTGCTGGAGTCATTATCCAGTGTCAAGATCAGATTCATTTGCGACATTTAGAGTTAAATTAACTCTTTGATAGGTTTGAAATGTTACTGTACAGCAGGGGTCCCCAAACTACGGCCCGCGGGCCGCATACGGCCCGCCTCCACATTTGACCCGGCCCCCTGAACAATACAGAGACAAAAAAAGGCTAATGGTTATGGTAAATGGTTGTGTCATACAAGTAATTACGACTGCTCGACGGATCGCGGTCCCTTTAAATGTTCTGTTGTTGTTGATGACGTAGAGCCCGTTGATAGGGACATTACAGGGCTGCGCCATCTTGTTTTTTCATCCGTTGTGAAAAATAAACGAGACACACGCTTGTTCTCAACTTTCTCAGTGGAATGCAACTTCCACAATAATGGCAAAACGGTGTGGTAAGAGAAAAATTGATTCAGAATGCAGGGTATTTAACCCGCAGTGGACACATGATTACTTTTTTGTTCAGTTGAAAGAAAAGGCTGTTTGTCTCGTCTGTCAAGAGACGGTGGCGGTATTCAAAGAATACAACCTGCGCCGACATTATGAATCCCGTCACAAAGACAAGTATGCTAGCCTGCACGGCCAAATGCGAGCAGAAAAAATGTCTAAGCTAAAAACTGGACTGTTCGCTCAGCAGACTACATTTGTACGGCAAACTCAGCTGAACCAAGCATCAGTTCGGGCCAGCTTCCGTGTTGCTCAGCTGATAGCAAGCTGCGGTAAATCTTTCACTGAAGGAGAGTTTGTCAAGAAATGTTTGAATGTTGTCGTGGAGGAGGTCTGTCCCGAGAAGAAAGATGTCTTTAATTCCGTGAGTCTGTCGGCAAGTACAATTACCCGACGTGTTGAAGAAATTGGGGGTAATGTGTATGCCCAGCTGCAGCAGAAGACTAAAGATTTTTAGTTTTTTTCATTAGCACTGGATGAGAGCACGGACGTGCAGGACACCGCGGAGCTTCTTATTTTTATTCGTGGAGTTAACGCAAACTTTTTGGCAGCACGTATATCTGCGAGCAAACCTTTTCACGCATGAAACTCCTGAAAACTCCAACGAGATCAAGATTGACAGATGAACATTTGCATCAGTGTTTGAGACTGGCTGTGACTAGAATGGAACCGGACATTCAACTTCTCTCCAGCCAGATGCAGGCCCACAGATCACACTGATGAACACACAGTACATAGGTAAGCTCACTTTTCTGACTTATATCAGTCATTCTGTGTATCAACAAATGTAATCATAATAAAATCTATTGGGATAAAAATCCATCTCCACAACCATACTGGTATTGAAATGCATTGTGCTGTATCACTTAGTTTGGTTTCTTAGCCTGCTTGCTTTGTGCTTTTCAGGGGGAAGTTGATGAGAGGGAGCCTACAGTGGTGTCTACTGGGCTAGCCTATGGAACCTACAAAGAACACAAGAACTTTGAGAGACATTTGAGATTCTGCTGTGACAAGTGAAGTTTACCTTTTTATCTAGGATTGTGCATGGCACAGCATAACTTTCTTTCTGTGAAGAACCCAGAGAGGGTTATTTGATCTCAGAAAGGGTTATTAATATTTGGATATGTGTGGTGCGCTGGAGTGTCAGCATGTTTTCTGGAAAACAATAAATGATTACATTTAGGGACCCCTGCGAATGTCACACTTTTTCTGTTGAAACTGACCCTGGCCCCCCATCAGAGAAGGGAAAAGTTATGTGGCCCTCACTGGAAAAAGTTTGGGGACCCCTGCTGTACAGTGTCACACATCTTAAAAATGCGATGTAAGTCGCTTTGGATCAACGTGTCAGCTAAATGACCTGTATGTATGCATGTATTTAACATTGGGCAGATTTATTTTTGACATTTATTCAGAGTTAACTTGTTAACACTTCGTTGTGTGTTGATTTAACACTGACAAGATTGGGACAATATAAACACTAGCTTAGAGTTAAAATTGAATCTCACAAAGTCAATTTAACTCTCTGAAATGTGCTGTGTACCCTGTTGTGTATCCAACAGCTTACATTGCTAGAGAGCAACGTTTAATGAACAGGCCCCCATATGTGCACAGTGCAAACTCCGTTCTTTGATTCTGCTGTACATATCAGACAGGAAGGTTTTTGTGAATGAGGAGGGCTTTGAAAAACCAAAAAACACTTACAACTGACCTCTAAACCCTGACCACAAATACACTTTCTGGTTTCTATATGAAACTTACAAACATTAGTGAGAGTTGTGATGTGTCATTTTATCCACCTCTACAAAACACCTCTCTCTCTTTTTTTTTATTGTAGGTAACAGCACAAAAATACTTTGATCACACATCTACTTTATCTCTGAAAAATGTATATCAACTGTAGAGGGAAAAGTTAAAAGGTAAAATATTATTTTAATAAATAAAAAAATAAAATATTTATTTAACACACTATTTATAAAAATGCTTGGATTTCTTATAATTTATAAAAAATAATGGGTGCCTGAATAGTTCAAATTGATACTTTATGCACTGTTTTCCCTGGGGTGTCTCAAAGGTTATTTTTAAATTTCTCCACTGCTTTCTGTGAACGCATTCCGCCCCAATGAGCCCACACTGACATGTGCGTCAATCAGTCTTTTGTTCAAGGTAATGTAATGCTAATCTAATGCATCTAGTATTACAATGGCCATCGGTTTCCACACAAATCAGTGTGCATGTATCTTTGTGGCTCTGTCAATTGAATCAATGAGTGGGAATTAATGTTTATGTGGGCATGTAAGTGTGTATGGTTAAAATAATAAATTTTAATTTACCACGGTTACCTGGAGTTCCCGCGATTCTTCCTCCGCAGCGGAGGCGTGATACGACAACACCTGAAAAAAACATGCACATAAAAAAAGGTAAGGTATACTTTGTGTTGTATCTGGTTAATATAGTTATACAACTGATCTCTAACATGCATCTCTAATTGTTGGAATGCATTAAGCTTTCCAAGTATTGTTCTTCGAATCTTTATTTCTTCATCTTCTATTTCTTCCGCGCCCCCTTTCAACTCCTTCACATTTTCAGCTATTTAAACCGTTCAAATATTAAAATATTCAGCTCCTTTCTGGCTTTAGGGCTATGGCTTTTCAGCTTTCTACCTCTTAAGCTTGAATTTATATAAATCAATAATCATTAATATTTTAACATGGTTTTCCAATGGAGATCGTTTTCAAATCCTCTTAAACTTCTTCAACTTTCAGATTTTTCAGCTCCGCCAATCTTTCAGCTACAGACACCATTTAAACTTTCAATTGTTGATGCAAGTCTCAACTATTTTACGAAAAAAAACAGCTTGTTGATATATATTCTACTTTTTTAATAATCACTGATTATGTTTCACTAGTTCTTCACTTCGTTTCTGACTTTTACATGAGTGTGTATTGCGTCTGCTAGAGGGGGACCTCGAGGGCTAGAGTGTGGGGCAGCGCCAGAATCTGGTTAAAAAAATATGGAACTTCTGTCCTTGCAGCCAAAGTATACACTCTTGAGGCTTCATTTCTTCAGATTAATGAGGGCATGGTTGTGCTGATTGGATTAATGTGTTCATAGAATCCCAGAGCTCTTTAGTTTTGGCTTAAGGAGTGTTAGAGTGACACAACCTCTGCCAAAAGCCCCATAGGCTCCAATACAAATCTGCCGACATACTTCTCAAAAAATCCAGAAGGTACACGTTTTGTCAACTGCGATAGGAGCCGTATTTATTACCGGACAGACAAAAAAACGCATCCATGCGTTCGGTAGAGTCTTGAGTCTCGTAAAAACGCCGTATTTTTTAGATAGCTGATATAGTTTTGCGCTGGTAGATATTTGTTTGAGGTGTGGATTCTGTGTAACTCGCTGTCCTGTGTCTGCCCTTTGCTAGGGCTCGTTAATAAGCCCAGGTGCACCGTTGCCGTGGTTACTCGCACACAGCTGCAGGAGCTCTGTCTGTGACTCACAGCTGCTCCTATGACCTGATTAGTGGAGTCACATGACGCAGCTATGCTTTCTGTCAACAGACCAATATGATAAAGACACTAGACCCCCCTCCCCCCTGACCTCTTCTCACTGTTAATCAGTCAGTCAGTCTGTCTGTCTATTTCTCCTCCTCTCTCCCTCTATCTCTTCCTCACCACCCCTCCCTTCCTCACCGTCTCACCCTCCCTCCCTCTATCTACGCCCCCCCACCCCACCCAGTCCAATAATTACAAAATAAAAGCCCGATGGAGGGAATTTTTACTGTAATGTTTGTGATGAGGCCTACTTATTAAAAACTTTTTAGTTTGAATAACAAACATTCTGTCTCCCAACGCCCCCTCACCCAATTCCATCATTACAAAATAAAAGCCTCAATGATTATCTGTACCTTAACCATGAAGCTCAGAATGAAGCGGTTTCGTTGAAATACGTATTGCTCTTTCAAATACTACTACAACCACTAAGCATGTTACTAGTACTTCTAGTAGTACTACAACTGATACTTCTACTACCATACTACTATTTCTACTGCTATTAATACTACAACTACTACTAATGTTATTACAAATACTACTATGGCAAATAGTATTAGTATTACAGCTGTTTCTACTGCTATTGATACTAAACCTACTATTACTGCTTCTACTGCTAGTACTACTAATACCACAATTACAACTACAACTAATACTACTACTAATATTACTACAAACTATTTTAAACCTCTTTTTAGTCATCTCAGCTTTTGTTATTTCTGTACTTTTTAAAATTCATTTAAGCTCCTGCAACTTGTGTATTTTTTTTAGAAAATCTTTTGAAATTCAGATTCCCCACTTCATGTATTTTCAGCAACTTTTTAAAATAATTTCAGCTTTTCTTATGCCTGTATTAACAGCAATGTTTTAATATTCATTTCTGTATTTTTTTGCAATATTTCATATTCATTTCAGCGGTTTTCATTTCTGCCTTTTCAGCAAATCTATTGAAATTCCTTTCAGCTTCTCCCATTTCTGTATTTTCAGCAATTTCAAATTAATGTCAGCTTTTCCAATATCTGTAATTTCAGCAAATCTATTGAAATTCCTTTCAGCTTCTCCCATTTCTGTATTTTCAGCAATTTCAAATTAATGTCAGCTTTTCCAATATCTGTAATTTCAGCAAATGTATTAAAATTCCCTTCAACTTTCTGTAATTTCAGCAATTTTCTGAAGTTCATTTCAGCTTTTTGCATTCCAACGCATTTTCAGCAGGAAATGCATTTTCTAGCTCTACTTTTTACTTTGAGGTGACGATCAGTTTCTGATGATCTGATGGTTCACATTAATTGAAACACAATGAAAATAGGTATTAAATATGCACCGTAGGAATACTTGGTGTAAATAAATGAAGAAGAAAAAGATAAATAATGCTTCTCTATCCAACTTTTTTTTGCTGAGAGATTTCTAACTGTTGTCAGTGATCTCAAACCAGTTTGGAGAACCCATCCGCTTCTTAACCAAAAGCTCTGTCTATGTACTCTATAGTTCTGCTGGGAAACTTCAATGTTCACATAGGCAACGGTGGAGAATCCTGGAGCTGAATGACGGGGAGTAACTGCCTGTTATTTCTATGCTAGTCATGCATTGGCCATAACTAAAACCATGTTTGAGGATTGACTCATTCAAGTGGTAAGAAAATGGATCATATTACTGCATTAGCTTCTCTGCATTGGCTCCCTGTTAAATCAAGTATAAAAATCCTTCTCCTCATTTACAAGGCACCAACTGTTGAGGCACTTGTTGGCTTATGATAGCATGCACTCCATAAATGCTGGGACAATAAAAGGAATTTAATTGAGTTGACTAGGAATATCTACCTGGAGCCTCTATCAAGAAGGTCTCAGATTCCTTTAAGAATTTATTGTGCATTCCAAGGGAGGTTGGAGAGATGAAATCAGAGTGGGGAAAAACACAGAAGGTGGTTGGAAAGTCGCCGGCGCCTGTTGTGATAACAACATAAGAATGTGAAAGCAAAATAGCCGGTCTAGCTAGGGCTCTCTCTTTTGGCTGAAATGACTTGTCCATGTCAGGTGGAGATCAGTGACAGTGCCTTTTGTGTAGCAGACATAGAGGGTAGTTCCAATCTTAAAAAAAGCTAAACAGAGGACATTTTATCATTGGGGTATCAGAGTGCTAAGCCTGTTGTCCAACTTCTGATTGAGGAGGAGCATGGTTCCGTTTATTTTTCTCATCATCTGTGATGAGTGTTGTGGACTCGGAGAAGACTTCCCCTCACAGAACCATGGGTTTTGGTACATTTAGCATTATCATATGGAAAAAAAAGCATCTTAAAAAATAAAAACTATGTGTAGGGGTACACCCAGAGTGTGGACATATTTATTTATATGCAGCCCCTGCAATTACTTTGGGACATCAATCCCAAACTCAGTCCCAATCTCAAAGTTCCACACCCAATAGGGTGTTACATATGACTAAATCTATTCTAACTTTCGTTAACGAGACGTAAATGTTGGTGGTTGACGAAGTCACAATACTTTTTCCCCCCTAAATTCGCATGCACCCAACAGACAGGCAAAGTACGGCGGATATTAACGTGTCATGATGACGTCATCCACGAACCCAGAACGCTCGCTTACATCGGTGCAGTGGTGGTTCTTGTGCACCGACTACGGACCGCGACGACTATTTTACGCTTCGGCAAGTTTGAATGTGCGTGGAGATGAAGACCCGTTTAACAGCTCGGGGCTGTTCGGCAGACTGTCGGCCAGCAGAGATCCATGCGGACCTTTCTGCTCTGTTCTCTGGCGACGGGAGGCAGCGTTTCCTCGGGTGGATGAGACGGTCCGTTACACGCTTCTCCAAACACGTCTAACATAATAAACTCGTAGCAGGTTCTGAAGCCTCACGCATTGTCCATGAGACACACGCATTTCAACTATAGTTCACACGCCACACGGCCACCGTACGCTAAGCAACATAGAGGCGCGCACACCGTGACAGGTGGATCCTTTTGATAGAACTGCGCAGTGCAGGTGAAGGATGTGGCGGCACAGAGCAGGTGGAGGAAAACCCGCAAGACACAAGAGAGACGAACTGGTCATGAAACCAACAAATAAACAAAGAGAAAGAAAAGACTGTTGAATGAAAACTGGGGGTCCTGTTTAGAATGGCTGGTTTATGCTGCAGCCAAGAAAATAATGTATTGCACCGATTGTAGGACGTTAAGGGGTCTCTTTTGTTGGGACAAGCAATTTCACAGTGGAAACAATGAAGAACCATGAAGTTTCCGGTGTCCATGTCAAAAGCATTGCAAGTAAACAGACAAAGACAAAGTGTTGCGTTTGGATCCCTGGTCCTCATGAAGTTGTTACACCCTTGCCAATTTGTTAAATTGCCTTGCAAATAAATGCTTTGCTATTGGTTAAAATCCAAATCCTTTCATGTAATGATTTTTTCCATGTCATTTATATCAGCTCACACAAATACTTGCACCTTGCACCCCCACCCCCATTTACATTTATATTTAACATTTACATATGAAACATTTATATTATTTAACAACTTGTTACTGTGTTACCACCAAACATTATCCATGGAAAAGTTATTGCATGAATTTACATGAATTTCTCTCTAAATGTTTGAAAAAGTTATATATCAATATTGTCGTGCATTTTTTTTTCCATATGATAATACTAAATGTACCAAAACTGCGCAGGATTTTAGAACGTGCAACATTTGACAAACGGCGCCCCATAGTGGTAATATGCAACGGGTTAAACCCAGTTTAGCACTCTCCATTAAGGGTCTGAAATTCAAAGCTTTTTCGTATTGTGCTTGATTTTCACCGCTGGTGAGCGTGTGCTCTCCTGTATACACGCACGTGTCTGCGTGCACACGCAATTGTCTGCCTGCGTCCGTTGGGGCGTTAATGCTGGGCGCTGCGAAAAAACATGCAGACTTTAATAAGGGTGGGGAAACACTGACTTAAATAAATATAAATAGAAGGTAGATGGCTAGCTAGATGTTGTAGCTAGAGAGACTGTCGGTTATCTTTTTCTGCTGCGAGGACGGTGTCATCAGTGTGTGTAAATAAGGTTTTTCAATCAACTCAGGCACCGAAAGCAAGCACCGAAATCTGCGTTGTGTTTCGATACAGTAGATACCGGTCGTATAGGAACCGGTGCCATATGGGTACCGGTTCTCGGTACCCAACCATAGCAGCTAACCTACAAGATGGCTGCCAATTATAGCTCCCAGAAGGCCTCACTACTCACCCAGGTGTAAGTGTTTGGGCCACCTGATTAAGTCCGAACTTGAGGGCGGGACAAGCAGAAGGAGAGAAGAGAGGAAAACCTACAGGAGGGCCCTCAACAAGGAGGAACTGGGGACTCAGCCGGGTAAACTTTTTGTTTGATTAAGGAACCGTTTTCTCCTACGGGACCCTTTATGTTGAATAATGGGTTTTGATGTTTTGTTATTTTTAAAACAAATTACCAAATTGGCCATGGTAGGGGGGAATAAAGTTTTCTATTCAGTTTTTTCTTCATTTAAACACTCTGATGCTGGTTATTTTTTAGCTCTCATGCAATGCTCAACCATATCTGGTCGTAAGGACCGCCCATGATCTTATAGTGTGTTTGAGAGAGGCTGACCTCCAGAGTGACTTCTTGCTTGGCCATTGCTCTCTCCACAGTTTCATACATCTGGGTGTTCTGAATTCCAAGACCACAGAAGATGGTGAATGCCTCCAGGAACTGCTCATCGTTCCTGTTGAAGGCCTTGACAGTGCCTGATGCTTCATCCATCTTGTTCACCAACTGACATACACCTACATAGACACACAGAAGTTTACCAGGATCAGGAATCAGGAATCATTTATTACCAAAATATGCCAAACATACAAGGAATTTGTCTTGGCGGTTGGTGCGCGACAGTAGACAATATATATACACATATATATATATATACATATATATATGCACACATACATATACATACATATATATGCACACATACATATACATACATATATATGCACACATACATATACATACATATATATGCACACATACATATACATACATATATATGCACACATATATACATACATATATATATATACACATATACATACATACATATATATACATATACATACATACATACATACATATACATACGTATACATACATACGTATACATACGTATACATACATACGTATACATACGTATACATACATACATACATACATACGTATACATACATGTATACATACGTATACATACATACATACATACGTATACATACATGTATACATACATGTATACATACGTATACATACATACGTATACATACATACGTATACATACATACGTATACATACATACATACGTATACATACATACGTATACATACATACATATACATACATACATACATATGTATACATACATATGTATACATACATACATACATACATATGTATACATACATACATACGTATACATACATACATACGTATACATACATACATACGTATACATACATACATACATACGTATACATACATACATTACGTA